TTAGTTATCCACCTGAAGCTATCGGCACTTGATTCATGGTTCCCTTTTCTCTGCACAAGAGAAGTACATTCTCACAGGAGAAAGACGAATTTCAAACTGGAATCCTAAATGAATCTAGTGAGAATGGCCAGTAGGATCAATTCAGAAAATCATCAATGCATGGCAAGAGAATGGTATCTAAGATACAAACACCACAGAAGAATGCAGAAACAATAAGAATGCCAGAATCATCGTGGCAAAGAAATCTACCATGAAGCCAACATGTTAGTGTTTAAGCACCAAACAATGGTTAAATAACAAACATCACACTACATACATTGTTATGGTCATTCATCACCTAAATTAGCACAGTTTGCAGAAGAACAAGGGAAATAACCAAAAGAAAAAAATTTAACCACAAATATCCCAGAACAAACGTGAAGAACTCAGCCGGAAATGAAATTGGCCACTTTCCATAAATAGCTTTATAGATCGTGACAAATCTTTTGTTTAGCTAACAACATATCCACAAAATCTCACATATTTTGGACAAAGTTTCACAAAACTAATCAAAGGAATATTTTGCTATCATAAAGCACCAAACTCTGTAATGGTATACCAGGATACTGTTATACAAAAGGAGTTGCACATTTGCTGCACCCTTATTGTTCTGAAGTAATCTTAGGGTACAACAGTAGAACTCCCCTTGGAAAGTCCGTTCCATAAAATGTTTTTCTCTTGCATCTAATCATTCCCCTTGGGCCGGGATGCCAGACACCTAACAATTGCTAACTTAGATGCTTTGGAAACACGATCAAAATCACACATGTTTTGAGACCTTTTTTGGCAAACTTGAAGAAACAGAGTTGACCTTGGTTTCGTCTAGAAAAAACTTTTCCATCACAGCTTTGGATCTCCCTCTCTGTGTTTTTTTTTTGGGGGAGGGGGGAGGGGGAATGCCCCAACCCCTCTCTACCCACTCAAAACTTGAATATTAAGACTAGTACAGATGCTCACTAAAGTTTATTGGAAAATTTATAAATTGATCAGAGTGAAACCTAAACCGTGGAGTTATGTTTATAGTGCTCAAGTTCGAGGTTCGAATTAACAAGAGCTCTTAACTGCAAATGTGCCAAATCATTACGTAGCATTAAGGCCAGCTTGAATAGTTAGAAGAAAACAATTACGATTGTAATGGTTTGGCACACCAAGAAACATTAAGTCCCTACACATAATAATTGATGAATTCACTGATTAGTTGAGTTAATTGTCAAAAGTCAAATAGTATTGAATTTCAGTAAGACAGAGAGGAAAAAAATTAGCCAATACAGGCATCTGATTATTTATATCAATGATTCTTAAATAATCAAAGGAGCTGCAGAACTACCAATATTTAAAAAAAGGTAAAAGCAATTCTGTTCAATTTGCTATAACTTATAAATAACAAAGTGATAGTAGTCTAATACAACATTGTGCAAGTGCACTTCTCATAAGCCCATTCAAGACACTGAACCAGAAACTTGTGCTCCCCTGGAAAATGCAACCTCAGCTTGATAACTCCTAGCTTGAAGGCAGTTCACAATACACAATTTCAACCAAACCCACTCTGAATAGGAATTGTGTATTAAAATCTCTAAGTAATAACAATAATCAATCTAATATACATTTTGACATGAAAACAAGCTGAAACAATAAAGCATATTCCTTCGTAACATCAAAGTTCATTTATAACACTAATGGTAACAATAACCATCAATAAAAATGCCGTACAAGTTCTCTCTTCAATGGGGTACTCTTACCGGAAATATAATGCATAACCAATTCACCAGAACAAGTCATATCATCAATCTACATAACTAGAATTATTAAACAAACCAGCTCTAAATAAAAATATACAAATAACATTCCTGATTTGTAGTGTTTGCCAATCTAAATGAATCACTCCAAACGAACTCAGGCAAAAACATCAACGTAAACAAATTACCACCGCTTAAATTTTCAAACAACATCAAAACTCCATCTACAACTTCAGAAACTCTTAAATAAAGTACTGTTACCAGAAAAAAAAATAGGCACAAATTCCAAATTCAAAAAACACTCCAAAAAATCAAGCTCATGAAAGTCTAAACTAATAATATCAAAAACAGAGTACTCAAAAAGCCCTAACACCAATCAATCCACAACAAGAAACCTCAAAAGCATACAAGTAAATTCCAAAAGTGTATCAGCTATAAACTCAAGATAACAATCCTAAATTAATCAAAACCAGGTCGATATATACAGAAAACATAGTTCAAAACAACGATACAAACACGATAACGAGAATTCATTACAGATTCGAAACCAGAAAATACATATACACACACAGAGATACATGTATACATACCTCTTGATTGAATTGTAGAGAGATACTCGGTGGAGAGGTCTGTGCGGTTTTCAGTTGATAAAGAGAGACAGACACCAGACCCTTTTCCGCTCTTCTCAGTGTGTGTTTCCTGTGTGAGAGAGAAAAGCCTTTCATTGAAAAGTTGGGACTTTAAATATTATTAAAATAATTTGGGGGGTGAATCTCACTCTGTACCTTACAAAATTTAAAAATTCTTACTTTACACTTTTAAAATAAATTTCGTACATATTATCTATAATATATTAAAATTATTATAATATACTCTTTCGATTAGTTTTCACTTATTATTCAGTGAAAAATTACCCAATTAACAACAATAAAATAAGCAACAAAAATAAATAAAAGAGTTATATTATAATATTTTTAATATATTAAGCACGCTAAATAATTAATCTTTAAAGTATAAAATATAATTCTCTCTAATTTAAATTAAGTGAGAATTGGAATTGGAAAAGTTGTACGTGTTAGTGGGGGTAAGAATTGTGTACGTGGCTTCCTGATTCCACCGATGGCTATGGTGGAGTTTTTGGACCTTTTTTTTTTTTTTTTAACCTACACTTAATTTATTAACATAATTTATTAACCTAAGTTATTGTAATTTTTAAATTTATTATAAATTCCATCAAACATTAAAATTTAATATTTACCAAATAATTTCACTGATGTCAAATTTTTAAATTTAAATAAAATTACGCATACCAAAATGTCAAATTAAAATTTTTTTGTTACACCAATTATTCCCTGAAGCTCTAAGTTTACCATCGTAACTCAAATTAAAATTTTAAGAACATGTCTCCCAAAAAACATTAAATTGGGATTTACTATTAATTAATATGAACTTTAACACAATAAACAATTTAAAAATTATTGGTTAAATATTGAATCTAATTTATTTTTGCTATTGCACCAAATTGCTATACAATTATAGATTATTCAAATCAACCACGCCGTGATTATTAAATAGATAATGTTGGTATTAGTTCATTTTGGGAGTTTTAGTTCTGATATTTTGAATTTCGTAGTTAGGGTAATTTTACGGTACTAAATTATTTCTCAGTACTATACCAAAAATAATTATTTTTTGAGATCAAATTATACGTGAAATGCTATAATTGATTATAAATACCTCATGACTAATTAAAAATTAATATAAACCAAGAAATATCTACAACTCTGTCACACCAAGTCATGGCATGGCCTTCACATGTTGGCATACAAATATATACCTACTCCACATTGCCAGTCACCACGAACATCACCAACATGAACAATGTTCATGATACAACTGATTATGGAATATCTACGTGAAATTGAATTCCAGAATTTCAGACAGCAGACATAACACCCGGACATTTCAAAAATGTAGAAAAGGCAAAAGAATCAGGAATTATTGGTCACAGACGCCCACAACCGAGTCCCATGCCTTCAGGGGGCCTCAACAATCCCGGTAGCATTGTCCAGTCCAAATTGTGACTGAACGGATCAAATTGAGTAGCTTGCAACGTTATGATAACAATGGACATGTACAAGATATCAAACTAGGGTCATAATATAAACTGGGTCATTGCCTCATATGACAAAGTTAGGATCCGGGAGATTTGGAATATGGCTGAAAAACCAGGTCCCAATCTCCATTAGCAGCCTATAATTAGAGCTAAACTAAAGGGTTAGGGTTCATATACGTAAATTATGTATTATACAAACGCCACCATCCAATTTTCTCTTATCACTCTCAATGTGAAGGAACTGATTTAAGTCTCTTGGCTGCACGGATGAATTCCACGACCACTTGTACCTCGTCCAGTTTCTGTTGTATCAAGATAAAGATGATGCAAAGCATTAGCATTTCTCAAAGAATCTGAGTGTGTATGTGTGTGGATGCGTGCACTTGTGTGTGTGTATGTTTGAGAGAGAGAGAGAGAGAGAGAGAGAGAGAGACCAGTGAAGTGAAATGATGCTCAACAGCATTAACCATTTGTTCCTTCGTAGGATGAGGACAAATGGTTCCCTGAATAAGAAGATTGAAATTAGTCAAGTAAAAGTCGTCCAAGAAATCAGAAGAGAAATAAAAAGGCATAATTGACAAATGCTAGTGAAACCCACGAGGTTAAAGCTTCTCCAATATCTCCACAATGTGCTTGTCCCTAGTTTTGCCAAGTTCACTCTCTAATCATCCACACAAACAATTAGCAAATGAGTAAGCACATAGCAGTTGTAAATTAAAAATAGTAAATAATGTGTATAGAGATCTCCACAAAACCCTTAATGAGACTTGCTAAATAAAATCTCCCACAATCTTGAGCTCCCAAGCCCGTGTTAATACTAAATAACATAATATGAGATGAGTTAAAGACATCCATTATTCCAAGCAGGATAAGAAGAATAAAGATGCCTTCCCTACCTTACAGTCAGGCCGGGCCATCTAAACTTAAAAATGATCTTTCTTCAATTTCCAAAATTCCTTTATTAATATTTGAGAAGGATAAAGAAAGAACCATTTTCCTCTTCCCTAAAAGTAATTTCAAGTACTATCCTGTGGAACATGAATAAACCCATTTCTGTTTTCTTGTCCATTATGTTTCACAAATTTGTCACATATTTCATTCAGACTATCTAAACTAAACAAGATCTCAATTAGATCCAAGAACAGGGTAAAGCTCCAACATGGGGGCCACCAAGTGAGAGTTGTGTGGACACTAGATTGAACTACAGTACATGTAATCATATACAATAGTTTGTACCAGAATACACCCTCTGCATAAGCTACATAAAATTACACATTGTGTTTACCAGTTGAGGTTTGCGAAAGCTAGACTGAACTTCTTTGCAATTGATGCGATTCATGGGCTTTGCTGATGCAGACGGAAACCATGGCTTTGTATACCGAACTCTAGCCTTGCTCAGTTTGCTGAACTCAAAGCCAGTGGCTGGTCAAACAAACAAAAAAAACAAAAACAAAATTGCAATCTTAAAAGAGCACAGTTTCCCAAAATAGTTAGCCTAAAGTGGTGTTCAGAAGCTAAGTTGGAATTTCAAGAGGTAGGAAATAGCAGAACTTACTGTAATCGTTGTCCTTTTCACAAATGTCAGAGCCACTGCTAGAGATATCAAAATCGTAATCTTCGTCATCTTCATTCCCAGTTGGAGGTTCCAGCACACTCAAAGCATTCCTTTGCAGCTTCACTTCATCCCCATTCTTTAAGACCTTTTAGGTTGCATATGCAAACGTATCTTGATTTAGCAACGAAGGTAACACAATTGGAAAAAAGACAAAATTTCAACCAAAATATAAAAGTCAGGGGCGGAGCCAAAATTTCTCCATAGTGGGGGCAACCATAAGGTTGGAGAGAACAATCAAATGACAATTATCAAAACTGCATTTTTGCGAAAAAATGGTGAGTATAACTTCAATGGTCAGATTTTGGATTGGAATCGATCCAAATCCGATATGGAAACTTCAATTTGGATCTTAAAACAGTTAGCTAGTTTGCTTCCTAAAGTTAATTGTCATGGAAAGAGCTAAACCGACAGAATTAAAGAGACTAAGAAAATCCTTCAGCTCCTTTCGTTCCCTGGAAATCTCCAGCAGAAACAAACAAATATTTTTAGTCTTCATTCTTTCCTATATGTTACTAGAATTACACCAAAGTGTGAATGGGAGCGAACATTCTGCAATAATTTTCACCAGGGGAAAAAGTCTGACCTGTTGCTCTGGTTCCATGTATAAAAATAAGGGTGGAGCTGGTTGATAATAATTTAATTTTCACAAAAAAAAATAAAATCATAATGATGGTCAATATACAATGCCTTACACACTGGAAAACAGAGTAAGTACAATTCACAATTCGAACTATATGAGGAAAAAATCCAATTTTGACGTCAATAAATAAGAAAATCATATCTTCTAATTATACCATAATATCCCCCAAGTTATTACAAGTGATTTTGATTTGATGGGCATTATTAAGTACAATAAAATCTGTAATAAGAATGAACTCGTGCACCTGATAAATTACACATGGCAGTGAGTTTTGGAAAACGAATCTTTTCTTTTGAATGCAGGAAAAGTATTCCATTAATTGATTGGCATGGGAACCTAATTTGATGGTCATTATAACATAAAAAAAATTATGCATTTGTCCACCTGATTATTGCATTTGTTTCCTTCCCATTCTACTAATTCGACAGCAAAGAATCATGTTACAAAAGATAAGCCTTCAAAAACAAAGCAGAATGCCTAGTGACTAACTAGGATTGAACATAAGAAACAGCTAAATTAAAAAGATAGCAAGAGAGTGGTAAGATTAGAATGGACTATGTGGGTAAAAGCTACAAATACCAGCCAATGCCAACCACCAAGTCCAACAGCTTTCTTGACAACGCCTTGCAGACCCACCAAAACAGACTTCGTTCTGTTATTTCCTGTCACTATAACTTTGGTGTGCCTAGGAAGAACAGAGAGATCTTCATCACCACTTTCATCACGAAAAGGCAATAAGACCCGAGAGGAACACAGGTCAGGCTCTAGCATTTTGCCACTGCAGACTTTTCTTCCAAATGATTTGAGAAATAAGTAGAACTTAAACAAATCCAATTAACCCACCAAGACAGAAAACTTTTGGCTGCTACCCAATACCCAACATCTAGATATTACAAAATCTTCCACGATGTCTCTCTGTTCCAATTCCGAGCTGGAAGCCAAAATTATGAAAACCCAATTAACAAAATCACCACAGCAAATTTACCTATCACTATCAAGTACCCCAAACCTCAACTTTTGTGAAACCTGATAGTGATTGTATTGCTTGACAAAAAAATCATCAAATTCAGCTCGAAGGTGTTGATATTGTAACCGTATATCACTCCAATTACTTGATCTAACTCCTCTTCAGTGATTTGCAGTGAAGAACAACAAAGTTTCAGATTCTGTACGGCAAGAAGCTACGCCCAAGCTCCAATGGAAATCCTGAAATAGAAGAGCCCGTGGGTATGTCACAAAGAGATTCAGATCCTTTAAGTTACCAATTTAAAGTTCCGTGAGTGTTATGTGAGAGTGTGTGTGTCTGTGTGAGAGAGAGAGACAGATTCAATATTCCTGAGCCCTGACACGAAATTTTCAAGGGAAATTGAATGCAATAAGCCACGAAAGTCACAGAATCTCCGCATTCACGGACTGAGCTCAATGACAATAAATGAAAGATAGCTATGCAATTACAGATCATTTGACATTCAATTTCTTCACTGAGGATTCTGAAAATACCAAAAGCTCCATTCTATTAAATTCTCACACACATACACACAAAGGCACACACACACATGTCAACCAATCCTTTCTCCTTCCTAGAGTCTTTCTCAGGAATTAGCCTCAATTTCCGATTGCAATACATCAACTCTTTTCCAGTAAAAGGAAGGAAAATGTAAAACATACAATTACAACATATTTAACACACATTGTAAACTCAGTTATCTAAAAAGTTAATAAGCACAAAGAAATTACATCAAATAAGCTTCATAAACACGTTTCTGAAGATGTAATTAGCTTCCAAATAATATGTGTAATAGATCACAAACCTGTGTAATACACCTCGGAACCGATACTGGATGTACCGAATCAGCAGAAAAATCACGAAATGCGAGAGACTAAGAGGGTTTTTAGGGCTAAAATTTTGAATTTTGGTGACAGATTTAAGCTAAATGCGAAGGATTTGAGAGCAAATGCACGAACTATAAGAGTGATTCTTCTACGAGTGAGTGTAACTCTGTAAGAGAAAGAGAGAGAGCATACACTTATTAATGCTCACCAACTGCCATTGGAATGGGAAACGACCTGCTGGTCGCCTTTTGTTTATCCGGGTTTACGGGTTTTTACCTGATATAGCAGCCTGTGTCGGTCAAGAATGGCTGAATGAGCTGTTTGGGTGACTTGGCTTGCTCGGCTAAAAGGTGGCTTCAATTTTTTGTCCATTCTGATAGAGGAGACAGCTGTTTGGATCAAATGTACCGTTTCAACTACCGAATCCATATCCAAAATCCCATTGCACGTACTAGTTACAATTTCACCTAAAGGTTTCTCTTTTTTTTTTTTTTTTTTTATCGTTTGGTATGATAAAAAAATTAAAAATTAAAAAGATGAAAAGTTAGGGAAATAAATAAAATATCATGTTTGATAAAAAAAAATAAAAAAGATGAAAAAATTGATGAATAAACTTTTATTTCAACTCAAAAAATTCAATCCCTCCAAATTCGAAAGGAAAGTTAATTATTTGTGTTGAAATGTATTTTATTTGTCTGTATATCCTTTGATATATACATTAATTTCATATATAAATACAATAATAAAATAAATATTTATATTATTTTTTAAAGAAATTTTTTTTAAAAAAACTTTAAATAAAAAATATTTTTTCCATTTTATCTAGAGGTGGAAATTTTCGACTTGTACTCGACACAAACTTGATTATAACTCAACACGAATTCAAAAATGACCAAACACGAGAATACGAAAAATATAAACGGCTCATATTTAATTCAACCCATTAAACCTAAAATTAAAACCATGAACTCGTTTATTTAAGAATAAACATTATCTCCATTTTCTCGTTTATACAGTAATACGAAGTTAACATGTTTAAGTAGTATTATAAACATAAAATGTTAATTATTTATAACTATTTATTAAGTACTGACATAATTATTATATAAAAATATATATTTTTTGCTTATTATTATTATAGATATTTAAGTTAATTTTTAGTTTGTAGAAAAAATATGAACATGAATTCAATTAAATGAAAATATAATATTAGCATTAAATTTTTTATTCAAAATTTATGTGTGTCAACACGAATACGAATACGAATACGAACACCAATACAATACAAAAATAAACAGGTCACCTTGACTTGACACAATTAATTAAATGAGTTGAGTTAAATTTCACTAATATTCGACACGAATCCGCAATAACTCAATACGAACCTGATATGACACTACTCAATTGTCACTCCTAATCTTAGCAAACATGAAAAAAAATTTAATCATTTTTATTTTTTATCTATCCTATCAAACACAAAGAAAAAAAAGTGTACAATTCATACTTTCTTTTTTTGAAGGATAGAAAATGTATCTTTTGTATTTTTCATTCCTCCTATTTATCGTCCTTTCTATCGGAGCGTAATCTTATGGCAATTATTTCATCAAGTTTAGATATTGGCCCTGCAATTTGAGTGGATTTAAAAAAAATCCCACGAAGAACAAAGGGGAACGACTCTTATAGGGTATGAAAAATATTAATTCTGATTTAGATGTGTTAATTTAAAACACTCGATGAAACTTGTACTAGCAGTGTAATATTAGTGATTATTCATATTAGATGATTAAGAAAAGTAAAGCAACAGGAGAGAGAGATCTGAGAGAAAAAAGATACTCGCGAGAAAAACTTATTATACACATAGTTTAAAATATCGGTTGACACCAATACAAAATTGGATAAATTGTATTCAAGTAGACACCTATTGAGATAATACTATTATATGATATGTATAAATTCCAAGTCTCATATGACACGATCCAGCTGGTCGAGTTGAATTCGAGTCATTGAGTTACCGTCATCGAATCGACCAATATAATTTTGTGACGCGATAATATAACCAAAATCTCTCATGTTTAGCATTCTTTTTTAGATCGTATCATTTGATACTGCAACGAAACGCCATGACCAATGAATCTGAAAATTCTCCGAATTGATAACTGATACTGCAACCTAGAACCTTGATTATAGACCATATAAATGTTTAAGAGGGGAAAAAAATTGGAACAATATGGATGTTTCATTTAAAGCAAATACCAAACTCTCCTCTTCCTTTATAAATAGTAATTGATTGACACAATTATGAGATGGCCTAAATCTAAAAGCAATATGATTATAAAGACGAACACTAAATAGGTTAATTTATATTAGATATGAATAACAAAAATTTAATTGGTATGGATAAAAAATTGTACTTATTTATATATATTTTTTCTTGATTGTATTTTTTTTTCTAAAAAATTGTATTATATATTTTTTTTTCTTGATTTCCATACGGGATTGTAAAAAAATTTTGGAAGTAAATTTTTTTTTATTAACGTTGTCATGACACATTAATGTAAAATAATATGGCTTAAATATGGCACAATCCAACCATAATACAACGTGATTCTATTGTTACTCTTAATATGATTCAATTGAAAAAAAATGTTATATTCTCTTTAATTTTTTTCTTAGAAAAATATGAAAAATAAAAAACATGAATCACACGTCATAAACAATCTAAACCTAGTCTCCAATTGGCTCTTTTGTAAAGGAGGAGTGATATATAATCTTAACTCTATTTAAAAACACATGATTTATAAATTAAAACAAATAATATATTGTTTAAACGATTCAGCATTTATGACCGTCATTTTTTTTTTTTGACCTCAAAGCAAGAATGTAAATAGTTTTATTTATGTTTTATTACGATTAAGAAATGTTCGAACTAATTTATACCACCTTGACTACTCTTTTCTCTGATTCAATTAAAAATCGATCATTTATGTCGAAATTAAAAAATTAATGAATGATAAATTTCTTATGACTTAATCTAAAAAAATAATAAATTTTATATTCAAAAAATCTGAATTTATAATTCATTCTTCATTCTTGTTAGACTGCCCGTCAGAGTTAAATAGTTTCAATATTTTACATTTAAAACATAAATTTGCATGGTTAAAGCTTACCCACCAGTTAATGATGACATGATGCTACTGGGCTATAAATGGTAAGGAATAATCATAAAAAAAAAAAAAAAAAAAAACCAATGAGTTGCAAGAGCCTAACAAACAAACAAACAATACGGGCAAACGAGCCCCACACGTGACACTGTCCACTGCTGCAGATACAGTGCTTTCAGTCCACCTAATATCTTCGGTGGACCCCACAAATTCAACATCCTCCCCTCCTGTCTCGTGTCTAGCAACTCTCCGACAACAGGATTTTATTCAACGGTCAGGATTCTCTCTACGTACATAAAAATCACTTTCCACCCTTACCCGCGACAACGTTATCTTTGTAAGGGCATTTTAGTCCATCAGAATGTTTCACCCAAGCCAAGCCGATGACGAGCCGTCGAGCTCTAACTTTGATCAGGGCCACCAGCTCGTAGGATCTTATCCTGGCAAGATTGACACTTGTACCCCATCCTCTCTCTCTGTTTGTACTTTTTACTGTGTGGAATATATATGTATGTTGTGTATGTATAGATTGGGTGTATTGCATAAATTTGAAATTTGATTTGGAGTCCGCTCTATCTCCGAGGCAGCTGGAGCGCACGAAAGCGAAAGAAAAGCCCGCTTTCGAGATTTTAGGATTCAAAGTGTGGGGTCCACGCTGCACATGCTCTGCTTTTACTTTCCCCAGTATTTCGTGGCTTTCTCTATTAATTTATTCTTGTGGCATGGCCCTACTATAAATTCTCGTAGTTATGGTTTTCTTCCTATAAATTATTTTCACATCGACTTTTCAATTATTTTATTTTTATATTATATATTTAATTATTTAATTAATTTTATATCATCTCAATTATTAATGTTCGTTAAAAATTTAACAAAATTATTTTATTTTATCCGGTAAACTATATAATTTTTTCTTTGTTTCAGCATGTTAACAATTTTCATCTAAAAAAAAAACAAACATTTATGATTAATACAAAGAAAGAATTCAAACAATGTAAAATTATAATATTAGATAGTTTAAAGGATCATATATAATTTATCCTTATTTATATTAGATAGCCTGAATTCAACTTTTTTATTTATCAGATAATTTTTAAACTTTTTTTATTCCTTGTTGCCGAGAATTTTTATATTAATGACCATATCTTTTTTTTTTTTTTGATAAAACCATATCTTTGCTTTGGACAGTACCGCATAAAACATTTTATTTTATTATTTAAATTTATAATTAAGAACTACAAATAAATTAAATCAAAAAAAATATTTAAAAACCATTTTGTCATGCTATCAAAAAATTATTTTTTGACACGAGATATTTTTTTTTTAGTTCAACGGTCAGAAATATTCGAGTCCACACCAAACCATTATACCCTGTTATTACTTCAACTTCAAATTTCAACCCCGCACCCCTTGTCCTATCCCTCTTTGTCTTCAGCCACATAACATAAACTATAATCAACCGGCACCTTGGTGGCCGAAAAATTATACAGAAATACCAACAGCCTCCCACCAAAAAAGGAGCCCAGTGCATGGAAGCTTCTGTCAATGCAGGACAAATGTCCGCAGCCTTTTCCGTGCGCAAAAAGACTGAATCTATTATGACTCGAATTGTGATACCCAAATAATAATGAAATAACCTTATCATTAGCTATACGACTATGAAATTTATGAAATTCAGAGTCGTATATTAATTGTCCTAAACATTTTCCTCATCATGCATTGCCAACTTGTCCCGATGGTATACAGTCAAGGGGAAATAGTAAGGCAGTAGAGCATAATCGATGAGAACAGCAACTTGGACACATTGTGAGTACAGGAAAATAAAAGAAAATAAATTTTCTTTACCTTAAGCAAGGTAGAACGCTCCATTTTGCCATTGTCGGTAAAGAATACCACCAATGAGATTTTATCATTGAAGTACCACAGGCTGTTCATTATTTTTTAAGGCAACCTGTAGAAGTGTGCTTGGGGGACCAGGGGAAATATTTTGGAACAAAACCATAGGTAGGAGAGTACTTGCAGATGCCCCAGGTCGCAATTGTGGGACCTGTTTAACAACAAAATCAACCGAGCTCAATTATTGACACTAAATAAAAAACCTACCTGGAGCGATCCAGCAGCAGCAAGAGCTGCAAGACCAAATGTATTCTTGTTGAATTGAATCATAAATCCATCGAGGGGACTCTGTGAGTTGTTCTCAAACAACATGCTGTAAAATATTTGACCATCTCTTCGTATCAGCTGTGCACTGATTTGTAAACCTTGACCAGTTGATGCTGTTAACAAAATAGGCAGAGGAGGGCTGCAATCAAATTCAGAACTCTTAGTGCCAATCATACTATTTTTTTCTGCCAATATCAAGAATTGGAAAACTCCCAAACAATTTTAGACAAATCACAACAAATTTTCAGTCAATTTCAGTAGCCAAATTTTTACGCATCTCAACAATCTCTAATATCAGTAAGGTGGCTTCCATTATACATACCCAGCAGGGGCTGCAGATTGATCAACAGTAACAAGAACACTATTACTATTGCTATTACTATCCAGGCCTAGATCAAGCTAATCGGGCACAGGTGCAGCCGGGTGCCTGGCTGCAGCATAGTAGGAATTACATGAAGTAGCTGGTGATGATGCACCACTCTCAGCAGGTGTATCAGAATACCCTGTTTCACTTCCATCAGGATATTCTATTTCTTCACTTGTCTGGGCTGTCTTCACACGTGTTACAAATGCCTCTGGAGGTTTGTGATAGACTGAGGACAAAGTAGCAATGTTGGCAAGAAGCTCATCAAGGAGAGAAGGATCAAGTTTGTTCGAATCATCACTGATTACAGGCTTCTCAGCTAACACAACATCCTTAGCTGCCTGAGAGAGAGTAGGCAAGCCATCATACTTGGACAACCAATAATCCAGGAGTCCATAATAACCTAAGGATATAAGCTGCGTAAACAACTAACACAATCCTCTTTTCTCCACCGATAAAAGTGGCTTTGTCTTAGAAAAAATCTCTTGAAATAAGGAAAAGTGAAATAGGATTTAGTGACTCTATGCCTTCCACAACAAAAAAAAAAATTGATACAAGTTTTAATCATTTCTTTGCGACGATGGATCTACAATGTTTGCCTAGTATGACATAGGTCCAAGGACTGCAATAACACCTTAGCTGGCACACCTCAGTAAGTACTTTAATGTCAAAGGAAAAGATGGCAACCATATGGAGTATCAAAGCAATAGAAACAGAAATCTCAATACTTCAGCTAATACACACCTCAGGATCAGTTGAAAGAAGACGTCAATATATGCATGCACATTCTCGCAAATCAGGATTGTCCATCTCCACAGTGGCATTGTTCAACACAGACTATACAGATGACGATATAGGGAGAGAATCAACTTAAAAAATTAAAAATAACGCGGTTTGGCATTTTAAAAGACAGACCGATATAGGACGGGAAGGGCTAGAAATCACAGAATACAAAGAGAAGAAGAAAGAAGAGGGTGTGGTAGGTGTTTATCGCATCCTTGCAAGGAATCAGCGAAGAAATACACAAATTCTTCACGGAGAATCATTTTTTATTATATCACTCTCTAATAAAAATAGTTAGAATTATTGGCTAAGTTCCCTACCAAAACAAAAACTATTCTCCTACTAAAATTCTGAAAGAGTTTCATAATCAAACTCTTAAATCCCTATTCTACTAAAACTCTATAATAATTCTCTAATCAAACTCTAACTAACACTCCTACTCAAACAAATATTCCCTAAATAATATAAAAATAGTAAAACAAATAATAAAATTCAATTCTTCAATTTAAGCTCATCCAATCCCTTTTCGATCTCTATCACAGACCCACTTGAAGTTTGGGGCAACAATACAGCTATCAAAATCAAGGGAAGCACTTGAAAATCCCTATGAAAACTTAAAAGAGAATATATTTAGCAGAATAGACTGTGATTGTCACTACTCACTACATACAGCATATCATGGTGACAGGTGCCCCATCAAGTTGTGATCATAGACTTCGGATATATTCCATTAAGGGTTCACTTTCTCAAGAAAGCAGGCATGCAGAATCTACCCATCGGGATTTAATTAGAGAGTAGGTGTGTATCCACATCGGGATAATTACAGATTACGTGTGTATCCACATCTTTGAAAATGTGTGATATTCCAACAGGATATTATCAATGCCATCCCAAGAGAATAGTATTAAATCACGCAGAACAGTAACAATATGCAGTTGGTAATGCCACAGATCAATATTCACTATCTCAAATATTTCTTAACTAAGAAACGCAGTTATGATTTGACCAGTAAAGACCCTCTGCAGAACAACCACAACCTGGCATTCCTCAAAATGATAGTTCTAGACCAGATCTTTCAAAAAGATTACGATGCTCGGGTCAACTCAATGCTAGATGGAATGGAAAGTAGAGAATGCAACGAAAGGGGACTGAGGAACCAGAAAAGCTTTGATTTTAAAAACATGAGCACTACAGAAACAAAAACAGTGAGTCACAAGAACATGCCTGAATCATCTACTGTGGACCTTCAGTTGGCTGCTTAAGAAAAAGTTTGACTGTTGTGGAAAGTAACTGCAACTGGACTTGAGCAGGTTCTTCAGGAAAACTCTCCAAAAAGCTTTCAAGAAGCTCATCAGCATTATCAATTCTTTCAGCATATTCACCAATTATCCAGATCATTGATGCCTGTGGAATAAATAAAGACGTAAGTAGCACGACCAGAGAATATGAAATTTAAAGAATGTGGGCAATCATAAAAAAGCCAAAGCCATGCCATTGTCTCTGAATACCTTAGTCTCTGGCTCATCCAAAGTGTCTAAGCTCTCACAAAGCGTAGCAATGATGGACTCATGGCTAAGACAGACAAAAGAATTAAGAATAATATTTATAAAAACATGAATCACTTCGATATTTATAGAAAAAATATAAGGTTGTCCAAAGCACAATAATAGCTTTGATCACAATAATACTTACGTAAAACACTAAAGCACCGCTCAGCTTTGATCACAATATACTTACGTGTTAGGATATCTCCTAAAAATATCTTTGATCACAATAATAGCTTCTTGAACGACATAATTTACTTTAATCTTAATCAGCTCAAGTAAAACACTAAAGCACCGCTCAGCTGCTCTCTCCAACTTGATTGCACAGCATCCAATAGCACGAACAGCTTTTCTAACAAAGTCTGCATCAACTTCTGTAGCATACTCTTTGAACTCCAACAACACCTACAAGTGTAAACCCAGAGAGTAAGACACCCCAATCAGAATGCAATAAAGAGATACTCAAAACAAGATGATCAAATTATACCAAAGTCTACTTACCTGGTCTATACTTTGGTCTGAAGCAAGTTTTATCATGATTTCAATCTTTTCCATCTTCACGTAAATTGGATCATTGTATTTGCAGAAAAACACCTACCAACAAATATTGATTTTTAGCATGCCCTCATTCAATTTTGAATTACAAGATGCAAAATCTGAATCACTAACAAATATTCTTGATCATGACCCCAATGTATGAAGCAAGAAAAAATCATATCAAACAACCTTGATTTCATGGGCAAGGATTGTGGGCTTTCTTTGCACAATAAGGTATGTTCCATAAGGCAACATACTGAATCTCGGGTTCTGCAGAAAGTAATGTCACGAGAGGAGGAGCCATTTTCTTGCAAAGATGTCGAATCACATCAGTACTGGTTACGAGTTCCATTTGTTGAAGGATCATCTACAAGAGGAAAATTTTTTAAGAAAAAGGTCAAGAAGTCTTCCCAAAAATAGGAGAGATGAAAAATGGGTAACAAATTAACAATAAATGATCAAGAACTAGACGATAGGCTAAAAGATAGGTGAATAATGAGAGTGGTATCTACAAATCAAGTCACTAAAAAGAAATGAATGCACCTTAACAACTGACAAAACAACTTCACAATTTGCATGTTGAAGTCGTGGAGTAACTCGCTCCACAATATTTTCAGCTTCACGAGCATCATCTATTCATCTGCCTTGTATTTGGAAGAGCATCCAAAAGAAGAACTTGACCCCACCTGAATTCATAGTTCACAATTGACATTCAACAAGCAAAACAGAAGGTCATACTCAGCAGAAGTTCTACAGAACAAATGTATGACAACCATAAAAGAAATCAAACCAAACATGATTCTTAGAAGCATAGCATGCTATTTTCACAAAATCTAAGCTTGATAACCTATGGCCAACAAAGATTTGATCACCTACAAAAACATTTTGAGTATTATTATTATTCAACATGTGTTGCGATTTAATAACCAAATGCACAGTCCAGGAAAGGGAGCCGTAACTTCATCTAATTATTGCCACCTACAAAGTTCACTTCAACTTCGAGCAAATTATACAAACATTCAAGAATGTGAAGTCAAAAATAAGTAAATAGTTTAAGAAAATGAGCTATGTGTCCCATTTACATCAACAGATTAACAAGGATTATATTGACAAGCTAAAAAAGGTACGGGAAATTGACACAGCAGAGAGTATAATAACCATCACCATCCTCCTATCTAGGATATCAAAGCACAAAGATTAAACTAAAATTAGGACGCCCTAAGACTAATATTGACCAGGAATTTAAAGCCAAAAGTGAAGCATAATATCTCTCTTCACATATAATGGAACATACATGTCAAATTTTTTCATTAACATTATAAAAACCAGCATTAGCCACATACAACCAATCTAATAAGGACAATGCACCACCAGGCAAATTCCACAATGTCAAACTACAACACATTTTCCAGATTTGCAAAGAAAACGACAAATTTCAGACCCATGAACTCACTCGGTGCATTCATTTAGAGCAGTAAGCAGCTTTGAAAGTGTGTGGCTAGCTATCTCCAATATGGGTCTGCTACTGTTCTCTTGAATCTCTGCAAGAGCTGCAACAGCATTTGCTACAACCATTGGATTGTTGTCTGATATTAAATCCTTGAGAGCTTCCAGAAACCCTCTACCCTCAAGAAGCCCAGCGTTTATGTCATAAAGTTTAGCAACACAAATTGCTGCTGTCTTGTGAACATACAGATCATCATGCTGATAAGTCATGAAGTAAAAGAAATGATATAACCAAATTAAAGATTACAATGTGCCCGACCTGAACAGACTGCATTCTTTTTGAAAACTGAAGATAAAGTAGGAAATGCTAAAACATAAAAATAGGTGCCAATGGCAAATCATAAGAGTAATATAAAAAAATTAACCTTGAGACACCTCTGAAGGGGATCACACAGGTATTCAGTGATTTTATCAACACCAATGCATCCCATTGTCCGTACTGCCAATGCACGAATCAAAGGATTTGGGACCTGTGAATCCTGAAAAAAAGCTTACAATTTAACAAACCATTAGAGAAACATAGAAGAAGTTATTCAGAAATCCCCCCCCCAAAAAAAAAAAAAAGAGTTAAAAGTCAAAGAAATGAATAAGGATGGCATAACTTTCCTGCGTCAAATAATAGCAAGGTGTTATAGACTCCTTTGTGGGTTGCTCTTATAGAAGGCATGGCAAATAAGTAGCTGGAATTATATGGCTTAGGTTTTGTTTTGTTATTTAGTTTTTTAAGGTTATTGTTGCTTAGTTGGAGACTTATCTCCTAATTAGGTCTTTCAGTGATTTAGGTTTCCTATATTTGTAAGGAGACTAGTCCTATTTAAAGGACTCTAGAATTAATAAAAACCCTAAGCAGAATTTTAATCATAAATATAGAGATTGGAGCTCTATCTAACGAGGTCCAAGGTGTCAAGCTCCCTTTTATGAGTTTGATTATAATTCACAATAGGTCGCTCAAAGAATTGTAACAAAGGTAAGAAGCAGATTTTGGAATTTGATTTGCCAGTGAATCGCCCTGTGACAAGATCCTTGGTTAGAGAAGGTATCAAATTGGTATCAGAGCCACACACAATGGGCGACTCTGCCACAAAAGAGGATTCGTGATCCACAAAAGAGGATCTGCAATTGATGTTACAAGAGGCAAAAGCCGCAAACGAAGCATAGGTAGTGGAGATTGAACGGCGATTGGGCAGTCACCTACAGGAGTTGTCATCGCAATTCAAGGAGATATTGGTTGGGTTTAATCGAAGCATAAGAATTGAGTCCGAAGGAACTGCAAGCTGCAACAACCCACAAGAGCAGCCACCCCAAGTGCGTCATACAGGAAATCAGTTGCAAGGTGCAACACCACAACCAGGTAGCGGCGTTGTCCCCCGCTACACCAAGTTGGACTTCCCAACTTTTGATGAATCTGAAGATCCTTTAATCTGGTTGCATCGGTGTGAGAAGTTCTTCGCCAATCAACACACACAGGAAGGGGATAAGGTGGGATTGACTGCCTTCCACATGCTTGGCGAAGCGCATCTATGGTACCATCAGTTAGAATCTGAACAACCCATAATCAGTTGGGCTAGATTCAAGGACTATTGTTCTCTGAGGTTTGAACCGCCAGCCAGAAGCAATCCGTTGGGGGAAGTGGTGAACTTGAAACAAACCGGTTCGGTAGAGGACTATCAGAGGCAATTTCAAAAAAGATTGGCAAGAGCCAACAAGGTTGTTCGGGTTGATCAGCATGGGAGTTTGTTTACCGCGGGACTTGCAGATTCAATTCGTCTGGATATGGAGCTTCACGCCCCACCTAATTTGGCTCATGCGATGAATTTAGCAAGAGCCTTTGAGTCCAAACATCGTATTCTAAAGGAAGCCGAGTCAAAGAAGGGTTCATGGTTAAACAATAAAACTAGCGCCACCTCCAAGGCACTACCTAAAGCAATTGTGCCACCCAAAAGTACTACCACTGCTGCTAGTGAAGGGCAAACGGAGGTCAAACCCTTGAACACGCCATTCATCAAGAAAGGGCAAAGATGGCGGAAAGAAGAGTTAAGGGTCTCTGTTACAACTGCAATGAGACATACTCAACTGGGCATCAATGTAAAAGGCTTTTCTGGCTTGAATTGGCAGATTCAGATGAGATGGAACCAACAACCGCTATCGATGGGGAACCGGAGATCTCCCTGCATGCAATCATTGGTCAAAAAGGGGCACGCACCATGCAAGTGAAGACTGTCTTGCACAATCAAAATTTATGGGGTTTGGTAGATTCGGGGAGTACGCAATTTCATCAGTTTAACAACTGCAAAACGCCTCGGAATCAATGCCCAGCCTAAAATAGGGGCAAGTGTCTCGGTAGCAAATGGAGAAAATGTCCACAGTGCGGGAATTTGTAATGCGGTAACTTTTTCACTTGATTATAATGAGTTTACTGCTGATTTTTTTGTTCTTCTCCTGGCTGGTTTTGATTTGGTATTAGGAATCAAATGGTTGCAAACTCTAGGATCCATCCTTTGGGACTTTGTATCTCTGACCATAAGTTTCACATTCTGGGGCACTAGAATTATATTCCATGGAATGCAGCCCCACCACAGCCAGCAGCTACACATGCTTAATGGACCCCCTTCTCATCGGGAGGAATTGGAGCAGCTTCTAGCCGAGTTTACTGATTTGTTCCAGGAGCCATCTGGCCTACCTCCTCTTCGCCATTGTGACCACCAAATCTGTTTACAATCCGGATCGGGACCGGTGGTAGTCAGGCCTTATCGATACCTACATTTACAAAAGGACGAAATTGAAAGGCAGTGTATTGAGATACTTCAACACGGGATTATTCGACCAAGCAAATCTCCCTTCTCCTTGCCGGTTTTACTGGTTAAGAAGCATGATGGAACTTGCCGGTTTTGTGTAGACTACCATGAGCTCAATGCTAAAACGGTTAAAGATAAATTCCCCATTACGGTGGTAGACGAGCTACTTGATGAATTACATGGGTCCAAGTACTTCACTAAATTGGATCTGAAATCAGGATACCATCAAGTGAGGATGCATGACTTGGATGTAGAGAAGACAGCTTTTCGGACACATCATGGGCACTTTGAGTTCTTGGTCATGCCCTTTGGCTTGTCCAACGCCCCTTCTACATTTCAAGCACTCATGAATGAGGTATTTCGTCCTCACTTACGCAAGTTTATATTGATTTTCTTTGACGATATCTTAATTTACAACAATTCTTGGACAAATCACTTGCTCCACTTGCGTGTTACTTTTGAATTATTGCGTGCTCACCATCTGTACTTGAAGAAGTCTAAATGTGCTTTCGGGGAGACCCAAGTTGCATACCTTGGGCATATTATTTTTGCAACAGGTCTAACAGTGGATCCGACAAAAATTCAAGCTGTAACAGAATGGCCAAAACCACAATCGGTGACAGCCTTGTGCGGATTCTTGGGGCTGGCCGGTTATTACCGTAAATTCATTAAGGAGTATGGGTAGTTGGCAGCACCATTAACTAGTATGTTACGAAGAAACTCCTTCCATTGGGATGAGAGCGCCGAGCTCTCTTTTGATAAATTGAAGCAAGCATTGGTTGTTGCTCTAGTATTACAGTTACCAGATTTTGATCAGCTGTTTGTGGTTGAATGTGATGCGTTCGGAGGAGGTATTGGGGTTGTACTTCAACAAAACAACCAGCCTATTGTATTTTTCAGTCGCCAATTGGCTGCAAGGCACCAAAAATTTGTTGCCTATGAATGAGAATTGATCGGGTTGGCAAAGGCAGTGCAATATTGGCGACCTTATTTGTGGGGAAGAGCCTTTCTTATCCGCACCGATCATTACAGCTTGAAATTTTTATTAAAGCAATGGATCACAACCTTTCCCCAATAACACTAGATTAGTAAACTTTTGGGGTTTGATTTTACCGTCGAATATCGGGCTAGCTATTTAAACCGGGCTGCTGATGCTCTATCAAGGCGCTCCAGTGATGAAAAGGTGTTAAGTGCAATCAATCACCCTCGATTTTTGCTTCTAGATACAGTCCGTGAGGAAGTCACTATTGATTCTTCCTTACAAGAGCTATCTTTACAGGTTTTAAAGGGAGAAAAAGATCCTAGTTGGTCTGTTCATAAAAGGTTGATTCTTTATAAAAATCGTATTTATTTGTTGCCCTTTTCTCCTTTGATTGCTTCAGTTTTGTCTAGTTATCATGATAGTGCACGTGAGGGGATCCAGAAGACTCTACATCGCGTCAAAGGAGATTTTTATTGGAAAGGGATGAAGTCAACCATGGTTGATTATGTGTCCTCTTGCCCAATTTGCCAACGCCACAAATCAGAAAATCTAAGCCCAGCTGGGTTACTTCAACCCTTGGCCCGTCCCACTCAAATTTGGGCAGATGTTTCCATGGACTTTATTGATTGGTTGCCACAGGTTTGGGGGAAATCAGTTCTTTTTGTGGTTGTGGACAGATTCTCAAAATACGCCCACTTTATTCCTCTGGCTCACCCGTATACTGCCACCAAAGTTGCCCATGTTTTTATGGAGCAGATTGTCCGTCTTCATGGGATTCCAGAGACCATTACATGTGATCGAGATATTGTTTTCACAAGCAATTTTTGGCAAAAACTTTTCCGTCTCAGTGGTACAAAGCTTGCCTTTTCCTCAGCTTACCACCCACAAACGGATGGACAAACAGAGGTTGTGAATCGTACCATTGAAATGTATCTCCGTTGCTTCATTGGGAATAAGCCTAAAAGCAGGATTGAGTGGTTTCCATGGGCTGAATATTGCTATAACACATCATTTCATACTGGCCTTCAGAGTACGCTTTTCAAGGTTGTGTATGGGTGTGAACCACCTCGTCTCCTTTCTTATATACCTGGATCCTCTAGAGTTGAAGCCGTAAATCAAGCCTTGCTTACTCGTGATCAAGTTTTGACAGAGACTAAATTGCAGCAGGCCCAAAGTCGTATAAAGGAGTTCTATGACAAAGGGCATCGAGATGTGCAATATGTTGCAAGGGATCTAGTTTGGCTCCGCTTACAGCCATAGCGTCAACACTCTATCTCTACTACAGCCCGCCACAAGCTGTCCCAGAAATTCTATGGTCCATTTTCCATTTTGTAGCGCATTGGAACCGTAGCATACAAGCTTCAACTACCAGTTGAATCAAAGCTTCACAACGTCTTCCATGTTTCCCTTCTTAAGCCTTACAAAGGACGACCTCCACCCTCCATTCCACAGTTGCCTCCTATAAAAAATGGCCATGTCATTCCCACCCCGGCCTCAATATTGCGGGCTCGTCTTAATAGAGGCACTTGGGAACTTCTAGTGCATTGGGTTGATAATGACATTGCTGATGCCACTTGGGAGAGCCGTGAACATTTCCAGCATGCTTACCCGGACTTTGAGCTTGCGGACAACCTCTTTCTTCAGGGGGAGGGTG